CCTTGAGGGACTCCCTGAGTCCTGTAAGAAGCCTTTTAAATCTTTCTTTTTAACCCTAAATCTTCGCACCTTGAGGGAAGAGAATGCCTATCCAAAATGAATGCGTTCACTTACCAAAGCAACAGGTCTGACTCGCAAAGCGGGTAAGCAGAGCGGCGACCAGGAAAAAAGCAGGCTGACTCACAGGGCGATCCCAGTGGCGCCAAAGGGAGGTCCGGCCGGACAAGAGTGAACGTTCCTGAGGAGGATTGGAGTTCGAAGTACCCCTGTGCCCCCCGGTGCCCCGACCTGCAGGGCACGCTTCGTGGGTACACCGCACCAAATCCTGCAAAGGAATGAGAGGATAGGAGACGCGAAGAAATGGAGGCAAGACAAAGTTCTGATCAAGCCTCAGTTTTATTCTTTACAGCGAGTGGTATTTATACTGTTTCTAGAGGATGGGCAAAGGAAGTCGTTAAGGATGTAACAGACTTTGGAATGTCGCAGCTTATCAGCGGAGATGTAGCTTGCTTTGTGCTTAGGGTGAGGGTATGTTATTTCTTAACTCCAGGCTAAATTGCAAGGTTAACTTTTAACTCCAGGCCAAATCGGGAGTTGGCTTGGAGGAGCCAGAAACCTCTTGTTGTAAGCTGGAGATGTATATGTGATTTATAATGGCTCCCAACAGTTCATGTTTATCCTGTGGCTTTCAGAAACCCTCAGGCCCTCTAGTTTGAGAAGCTAGGGTCTTAGATAAAATGCACTCTTTTTTTTTGCATAACCTTCTTGACAGGTGTCCATTTGTCTCTGCAGCTCCAACCTTCCAACCAGCTACCTACAGTCTAGTCACACTGGACTTCTTACCATTCTGTGACTATCGTACTGGTTCTCTTCTCAGGACCTGTACCTATGCTGTTTCCTCAAACTAGAATGAACCCCTCCCCCATCTATCTAGATCTAACTAAGAATCGCCTGTCTTATGAATTCTCTGTGAAGGACCAGACAGAGTTAGCCATCCCTTCCTTTATGCCATCAAAGTCCACACCTCTCCAATAGTAGATACCTCACTAGATCTAACTCCTTGTTTATGTCTCTCTTCCCCACTGGACTATGAATTGCTTCAGGGCAGGTCTGTGTCTTACCCATGTTGGCCTTCCCAGGACCAGCACTACGCCTGGCACATGGCCAGAGGGGAGGCCAGGGTTGATTTGGCTGATCTGATTGACCATGAGGATATCCTCTTCCTCTCTCATTACTTCTTCCATCCCCTCTGTCAAATGGGATGATCCCGGAGGGCACTCCAGTCAAGGGTGTATCAGTGGATTTCTCCTGCTGACTCATCCAAACAAGCTCTCAAGACCTGACCCATAGTAGACTCTCAATGAATACCTGTTAAATATTTGAATGATCAGCACCATTATTCTTTCTAATTAAGCTGCATTTTTCCTCAATCTTATCTTCCAGAGAATCCTGATATCTCTGAATCCCCATGATCTAACAATCTGCCAGCACTTACTAGACATTAAATAAATGATAATAAATAAATGAATTATAAAGTGAAGTACTATGATCATGTGCAATTCAGTGCTTCTTAAAAAGTACATGCACTCATTTTAAATTTTTACTCTGACATGTGGTGTGTTTACCAAACTTTTAAGAAGGGACTTTTCACTCAGAAATGGAATCTTGACAAATTGGTGATGACTGAAAACATTTTTTGAAAACTTCATCTCTGACTAGAATGATTTTCCCCCTAGTTTCAGGCTCCTTTAGAACTAGAACTTTTAGGTGGCCTTGATCTCTATCATAGCCAATATAACTTAATGAGTAACAACCATGGTCCTCAAAGTAAGGACAATCTCTGTTTTTAAGTGTAACTGCTCAATAAATGTGACTTTGAAGCATGCCATCCCTTAAGCATTTGCATAGACGAAGTGAAAGTGCTTGTGTTCTATCTAGCCCACAGTGAACACTCAGTGAATACTTTGCTCATTGTGTGCTCGTTCCCACTCAGATCTAAACGTGGCATGTGAGAGCTGATGCTGCTGGAATTTCAGAGCAATGCCCATGTTTAGTTGAGGATGGTGGTATCTTTTCCTGAGCCGCCCCATTCAGTTACAACCTGGCTGCGAGGGACTAATAAGATGCACTTTTTTTTTCTTTTTTGCTAGACATAAGGCGAGTGGATAGAAACTTCAGGTTGGGAAGGATTTTGTCTTTCCCAAACTCTGGGGCAGTGTTTTGTGGTGGTGTTGTTTTTTCCTGATTGAAAACTTCTACCAGTAAACGTTGATACATCCCCAAATATGCATAATTACATACTAATGTATCTGTACTTTTACAAAATTCGTCAACCATCAATGGGATGCTATAAAAATGAATAAAAATGCAATTTATGTTTTCTTCCCTCATCCCAATGGAATGTCTTATAACTTGCCCACTGGCTGATGGGTTCTTTGCTCTGGAAGGCTGGGTGGGAAGAAGGTTCTCCAGGGTCAGGTCACTCAGTGAATGTGGCTCCCACTCACCTCTGGGCTCACTTCCTTCAATGAATTCTATCAAAATCAACGAGCTTTAAGCTTTGAAGGAAAAAAATTGGAATTCAGTGATAGAATGATGATTTAAAAGACTTTATTTCCAGCAGAACCAGCTTTTTATAGTCGTGCTAAATGCTGTATTTCATTCCAAAGGAAAAGAACTAACTCCTGATTATTCTGTAGGATAGAGAAAAGCAATAAAGCTGCAGTATATCCTTGAAGCATGTCAAAAGCGGTGTGGTAAGGAAAAGGAGAGTGTTATCTCACAAGGCCAGAAACACTGAACAAATTAATTTTCCATTCCAGGAAATCAGCAGTCATCAACACAGCACTTTGCAAAATAGTTAAGATTTGTGATAATAACAAGTACTGCAGTGGCACTCCGTGTGGTTCTCCACTTTGACATTCCCCATTACTGTGGCCTAAAGGTGAACAAAACAAAGTCAGATAATTAGATAGATAGATGATAGATAGATAGATAGATAGATAGACAACAGGCAAAATTAAAAACTGTTAAATAAAAACATCTGTAGCCAGCTGAGCTAAATAGATGCTTAGATGCTTGCTAGATTTGCATTTTCTCCCATTCTGATATTTTGACTCTAAAAGGAGAGTGCACACAATGTGCATTGTGTAAGCATCATACTCTCTCCCAATCCGCCCCTCACCACCTCTGCCCCTATTCTCTTCATTCTAAATAAAACCAGCCTGTACCCACAGGGTGGCTGACTCTTTGATTAAAAAGGACAAATGCAACCCCTCCCAGCATTAATGCCCAACAAGGATGTGTCATTAGATGCCTCTGACATTAAACCCCATGAGTATACACTGGGGACATTTCTTCGGTTAGACTGTTAGAAAGCTTCTGGAGCCCTTTAGGTTCTCACCTTGGTAAATGCTTTGGCCACACAGCATGTGGCTTCTGAGGTGATGTTCTTAGGGACCAACATCGTCTTCTTGGACCTTGCTGGAGTGGGGTACGCTCTGGAATAGCAGCAGCCCATGCATTGGTAAATTGGGGCGCCCAGCTTGGAGAAGTATTTGTTTTCCTTTAGCTTGCATTCTGGGCAAACTATTGCCAAAAAGAAAAAGAAAAGGCAAAGAATAAAATAATCCGAACACAATTCAAAAAGAAACGATAAATTTTTCCTTATTATGGGATGGTATATAGTCTTTTTTCCATTGGGACTAGGATAAATAAATTCTTTTTGAATACTATATATGTAATCCTCATACATAATAACTAATTATATGAATTAGAGTTATTTTTTTATGTATAGGGCGTAATGTCACAGGAAGGCCATAGTATTCTGCCACCCGTGAGGAGTAAGCCCAAGTTGCTGTTGGATGTGTTGTACACAGAGAAGCCATTCTTCAGGCGCTCTGCTCTCTCCACACCCAAGATTTAGAGTTATTTTTGTGGGAAAACAACTTTGAAAGATATTCATGGAAAATCTCAATAGCAGCAGTCTCTCTCTCTCCCCGCATGACTTCTCTATCCTAGTACTAATAGTACGCCTATAAGGAAACACAGTTTGATAAATGAAAACATCATGCTCATCTGAAAGGAGAATTTTGCCCAAAGGCAAACTATTTTCCCCTTTAAAATCTACTATTGTTCTTTCCAAAAGAAACTCCAAATATTGGTAGAGAAAACTATGTCAGATTTAAGCAAGCTTGGTGAGAGCAGAGAGCCTGATGTTAGAGGGGACATCTGCATGCAGGATCTGGGGTTAAAATATTACCAACCAATAGTAGCTCACAATTTCACAGCAGATGGAAATATATCAGCTACTCTATAAAATGTTTCAAACAATACAGCAAAACAAATTTGCTGCATAAAAAATGATTTTGCTTTTCTCACTCATTAACTGCTGTGAGACTTCATCTTTCTCAAGTCTTCCAGGAGAAATGTAAAAAAAAAAAAAAAGCCCACCAAAACTGAGCTAAATTGAATAAGAAACATTTTCTGCTTATAAAACTCAGATAAAGAATAATCAGGAATGTATTTCAGATGAAAATATACAGGCTACTATTTAAATAGATATGTAAGATATCATTTTCATTAGAACATAATTTAATTTATGTTCACAATCTGCAAGTTCCTGGATATGAATCCAGCAGCCAGGATTTACCACATGTGAAAAGGAGGTGGATATATAATTAGTGGAGTTATTGATGTACATCTGGTTTTCTTATTACTGCAAATGCAAGTTGGGTCACACACCCTGCATTGTAAACTCTCCATCAGGAAAGGAATGGAGAATGTGCAGAAACACAAACAGTGTGGCCAGAATGACAGCTGCATGCTTTCTGTAGTAATCCATGGCTCTTCTGCAAAACAGGATGGGGGAAAAGTTAACTCTAAAATTGGCTTATCAGTCATAACAACAATCAGTAGTTTTAACAGTGCTACTAATAACAGTCATCAGTGCCTGGATCCCTCTGCTTACAGCTCCCACATACTCTGAAGTCATGTATAAAACAACAATTTGTCTTTTGGGAAGAGGTGGGAATTTGCATCTTCTCATTTCTCACATCAACCGGTAGAATCGGGCTTAATGACAGCAACAATAAATTTTCCTTTTTAAATGTCCTGTAAAGAAGCCTCACTGTCATTTGTAGTTAGTGTTGGGGAGGGAGATGAGGGGTGTCGCACAAGGGAGCCTTGTGATGATGGAACAGCTCTGTATCTTGAAGTGGTAGTTGTCACACTAATCTATACATGGGTCAAATTTCATAGAACTACACACACACACACAATGCTAGTGAAATCTGAATAAGTTTTGTGGGTTGTACCAATGTCAGTTTCCTGGCTTTCTCATTGTACTATGTAATTAAGCAAGGTATTATCATTGAGAAAACTGGCGAAAGGTTATCCAGGACTTCCCTGTACATTTTTTGCAACTTCCTCTAAGTCTATACTTATTCAAAACAAAAAATTTAAAAAAAGACATTTCAGAATGAAATTTAAAAATGCATGTGAGTCAAAACTTGTAGTTATATTTCATGTAGACTGACATATAAGACCATGGTTTTGCTAGATGTTTATATCTCATAAGAATGATTTGTCAAATAGTAAAACTAACAGCTTATAATACAGAAAAATAGGCTGTATGAGTATAGGTAGGGCTAAAACATATGCACATCATTTCTATCTGATGTATGTACTTATACACAAGTAACTATTGGTTTTATCTTCATCCATAATTAACTAAATAAATATTCTAAGTCAGTGGTTCTCAAAGTGTGATTTGGGGGCCCTAAACACTATCAGTGGGTCTGAGAGGTTAAAATGATTTTCATAATAATACTATGATGCTGTTTGCCTTTTTCACTCTGATCCTCTCATGCGTGTTCAAAGAAATTTTCTAGAGCTTACATGACATGATATTATAACAGACTAAGTAAAGAAACACATACAAATATAGCTATGTTCTATTGGGCCAGTCTTTTTAAATTTTTGCAAAAAGATAAAACAATGCCACTATTCTCATTGTTTTTTGTTTTGGAAATTGTCATTTTTATTATAAATATATGTTATTTGCATTAACATGTGATGGGTTTGATGTTCTTGCTCTTAAAAGAATAAGTATTTTGAAATTTTTACTGAGATAATTTCTAAATCAGTAAATATTGATGAATATAACTTAATTTTAAAAAGATATTTGGGCTCTTCAATAATTTTTTAAGAGCATAAACAGGTCTTGAGACCAAAAAGTTTGAGAGCCACTGCTTAAGTGATATACAAAACCACAAGGAAAATTTCAGAATTAAAAGTGGTTTCCTTTTTAAACTAGCACCACTTTTGTGCTTTGATATTGCAGCTCATATATTATGAAAATTCAGCATTATGCAGTGAACATATATCAGAATTAATTAAGGAAAAAACATTTATAACAAGATTGCTGAATGTGAAAGCATAAAGTCAATCCGCGTTTTAGAATTTGATTTATGATAAAGGAAAGAGAAGATTGAAAAGAACAGAACCCAAGTCCGCATTGCTGAACAACAGAAACAGCTTTGTCTTAATTAAAAAATAAATAAATAAGCAAGTAAATAAATAAGATTAACCAAGCAGAAAAGGACTAACCCTTAAATTCTAGGTGTTTGTGAAAACATTTTTTAAAATGTTTTTATCATGCTAATCACCTTTATGTCTTTTTGTCTTGGAATTGAAAGAAAAACCTTATAAACCAGGGCAGGAAAAATAATGTTCAGCTGAGATTTGTGCTATTTTGAAAAAATATGCACAATCTAAATCAGATTTGCTAACCACAGCCTCTTAGTGTTTTGAGTAGACACCACAGACTCTCTACATTCAACCCCACAGTCCATTTCTCACGTCCACTGAACATGCCCTTAGCTCCTGCCACCTGCCACATGAGGATGATGTGAATCCAAGAAACTGTGTGTTTTCTCAACTTGTCCTGTACAGCCTTTCTTCCCTCTCAGCCCATCTACCTCAGAGTCCTTTAAGGAGCTGCCCATGTATATATATCCACACACACATATACATATGGGGTACAAAGATAGACACACCACTTTCTGATGTGGGAGTGTCTATCTTGGCAGAGGGAATGTAGGCTGACAGATATTTTTGTGGCCATCTTTGGAAAGTACAACCTGCCATAGCAGTAAAACCTCATGGGCAATGAACAGTGAGGGGACTTCTCTTTGAAGCGCCTCTGCTCTGTTTGTATCACACACAAAAATCCTTAAAAAGTGCCAGGATTGAGAAATCTATAATCTTGGCCTGTCTATCCCATTATTGAAAAACCTCAAGGCAAATTTAATGTGTTTTTTTTAATATTAGATAGAAAAATAGGTGTGCATGTGTGTATGTATGTACATATGCCTATATATAAAAGGTTGTTCCAAGAAGACTGTAAGTGTTCTGGTGCAATGTGACATCCTGCCCTTCACTCACAAAGATGCTGCCACTGCTCCCCACTGCCAGAGAGTGAGGTTTCCGTCTTTCTGATGGTTTGATAGGTGGGGTGACTCATCTCTACTCTCCATACCAGGAAGCCCCGCTTACTCATAGCACATTTTTTTAGATGACTGCTAGGATAACAGGCATAATTCTTTAACAAAACAGATTAAATCTAACTGACTTCTAGAGGGTTAACCTAATAGTTCACCTCATTACCTCATCTAACCCAGCTAGATACCAAGGAGGGGGAAAGTAGGCACCTCCAGAGAACAGCAATGAATGAAAGGGAACCTTGAAAGTTCAGCCTTTAATCCCCAGCATAATGTCTGGCATGAGATAAGTATTCAATAATTGTTATGATGGAGAGCATAAGACATTTGGGGGCGCTAGCCATCTGAATTAGTCCCAGTAACCTGCTTTCTACTGCACTCTCTTGCTAGCCGATAATTAACTCCATTTGTGAAAGAATGTAGGAGACTAGCAGGAACTCTGTACCTAAGTTAATTAATATCCCTAATGCATATTCTTGTTAGTCTATAGTCTAGTCACTGCCCCTTCTTAATTATCTGGTCTGTCCTTGGTTCCTCCCATGCCAGGTGTCTTCTGGTTACCTGAGCTATGCTGTGCTCAAGGCTGCAAGCTTTCTGCACGATATCTGCTGAGCACAATAAATCTTTCTCTGCCCCGTTTTATTCTCTTTAACCCTTCCAATATATATAGAGAGAAAATCTCATTGTCCAGGTTGTTTAGGACCTGGATCTTAGGGTCCCCTGAACCAGCAGTGCTGCTTTAATAAAGACTTTTTCCTGAACCTCACAGTGTCTGACTGTCACTTCCTCACCAATTTCATTAATTCCATAACAGTTAAACAGAAAATAGGCCTGTAAGTTTTAGCATCTTTCCTGGTCCAGAGACGACAGCAATAGTTCAGCCTGATGAAGGTTTGAAGATGGAAAGTCACAAGGGAGAGTAGAATGTTTGAGATCCTCCATTCCACCACCAACCGCGGAGCAGACCCCTGAGCAGGCTCACCTCTGCCTCCCACAAAGTGATCACCTCTGTCTCTGGGTGCACGAATTTAAAGAGTTTGGGGTCCATGGTCAGGAAATTCAGCTGGAGTGGCCACGTCTACTAGTTTTCTTTCCTCATGCACTCTAGTTGCAGTGAGTGAGTTTTTACCTTGTTCTGTGGCATGTTTTGAACCACCAGTCTAGCAGGGAGTGTCTCCATCATTCCATGCTCCAGCCCCCAAATCAATAATCCTCCTCCAGGTTCCTAGTTTTTCCCAAAAGCCCTTCAAACATTGTTCCCAGGCACTAGAGTGACCTTGAGACCCATTAACACCTTCACTGATAGTTTTCTCCAAGGTAGACAGGGAATATCTGAGAGATTGGGGAGATGGATTAGGAGAGCCTCGTTAATACTCCCAAGATCCATCTCAAATCCCTCATCCATTCTTTGATATGGAGAATTAGTGTTCTCTTTCTTATAAAAAGATGAGTTTAGGGTAATTTGTCAAGCGTTCAATGTTGTTAAGTGCCAAATTTAAGATCCAAATTGAACACTTGGAAGATTTAGAAACTTTGAATATTTACCTACTACATGTTAGGCACTGTGCCAAAGTATAAGTAATACAAATATGAATGTTTCCTGCTATTTGACCCAGATACAAAAGCAAATAACTACAAGGTAAAGTGATGAATGCTGTAATAAATGCATCTGTAGACATTGAGAGCCTTGATAGTCTGGGTACATGAAAATGGAGAGATGAAAAACTAATGAGAACAAAGAACATGTATTTTATTGTTTTGACATTTGTGCAGGACCTTCATGTATTCAGTAGTCCTCACAATTTCCCCAGAAAGTAGAGGACAAATAGTTTGTCCCCAAAGTGCCCTGGTATCCAGAGGAAAATAAGGCCAAGTGAAATCACACAAGTTCAACAGCAGTATTTGGATTAGGATTTTTGCTTATCCATCACTTAATACTGTTTTGTGCCTTCACAAAATTTTAAAAGGGAGCCAACTTGTTTTCCAGATGAAATAGAGAGAAAAGAAGTGAAAAAGGAGTCCCACGACAAGGGAAATACACAGCATAGCTTATACAGCATAGCTATGCATTCACAAACGGGTTTTCCATAAAGAAGAACAGAACAAAAGATGACCTTAAAATATTTATTTTAAAAAATAAATTAAAACAGCAGGCAGTATCTAGAAGAAAACTGAAAGGTTCATAGAATTATAAAAATGATTTCAATTTCTTTATGACCATTCTTATAATAATCATGTTTTGCAAAGTTTCTTTTTTTAATTAACTAAATTTAAGGGACTTGTAATAAGATATATACTCTCTACCTTAATTGTTATTTAAAGGCACTTTGCAATGTTTACATAATCTT